ACAAAAAAAAGGGAAAAAGAGAAAAAAAAAAAAAAAAAAAAAGCAACAGCGGCTTGGCTGCGGGTAACCCGCAATGGGCTGCTTCCTTCCAAGGTGCTAAAAAGATTTGGGGGGGGGCTTTAATGTTGCTTTTTCCTTTCACCTGCCTCAAGCAGCAACACAAGATGTGCTGGAGAGGAGGGTTGTGGATTGTCGGTTCAGTCCTGGTGCTTGGGGGTGGCAAAGGGAGGATGCTGGGAAGCTGGGGGGGGCAAGCAACCGGAGGGAGGTGGAGAGGTGGGAGGGGGAAATGTCAGGAAATATCCAAAACTGCTGCCCTGGCCTGTCCCCATTGGGGTAGAGAGTTTGGGAAACATGTCTGGGGGAAGATGGAGCGTGAAAACCTGCATTGCAGGATAGGCAGGAGATGGTCCAGGCAACTCTAATGAGCAATAAGAACAAGGTCAAAGACCAAAAATACATGTAAAAAATGCCTGTCACCCAGCAGTGACTTTTTAGCCAATACTGCCCTTGGCCAGCCTTGAGCTGATACTGATGCTCAGCCTCCCCAGGACCACCAGCCTGAGCCCTGTACCCTTGTACCCAGTGTCTGTGAGGCATCAAAATGGGGATGACTGAGAAGCCAGGATTGGATTTTAGGGGCAGTTACAAAGAAAAGAGAGAGGAAGATTTATCTGCATCCTTTTTGTCGCTTGGGAGGGGCTGAAAGGGAGGTGATTTAACGCCGTTAAAAAATATTGTGCCAAGTACTAAACGTATGCACAGCACTTTAGGAGCCTAGGGCTGCGTGCAGCTTGCTTGGTGTCAGGCCAGCTCCAGGCACAGGGTCTGCCTGAAGGAGTTACAGTCCTCAAAACCTCTCCAAAGTGGGGCCAGGCGGGCTGCTGTGTCCCTGAAGGGTGTCTCTGAGGGGGCTGCTGAGGTTTTGGTGCTTAGGGGTGTGCAGCCTCCCAGCTGAGGGCATCCAGCACCTCCAGGTGCGGTGGCAGGGGGAAGGTGGGATCCCGTGGAGGATGAGCCGATAGGGTGGAGATTTTGGGGCTGGAGAGGTGGAGTCCGAGGAAGGCAAGGCTGGGTGGATAGACCAGTTTGGCATTGCAAAGCAGGATCTCTTAGGAGCACGTGCATGGTGTGGGTGCAGCCACTGGTCCTGATGGTGCTGCTTCCCTGGCCACCCAAGGAACAGGATGGGGCATCTATAGGGGCAGTGGTTGGTAAGCTTTTCAGCTGTCCGGGGCTTGCTGGCGAGGTGGCCGGGGGTACTCGGCACACACCAGGAGCCCACGGGTTTTAGGGCACGCTGCTGTTCGAGGCCTGGTGCTTTCAGTGCCGTCGGTGCAGGGGCAGAGCACTGCATCGATAGCACTCATGTGGCTGCGAGAAACTTGAGGTCGGGGCATCTCAGAGGAGCTCATGTCAGTGTGCAAGCTCCCCTCAGCCTTTGCTAGTCTGGTGTGGCTTGCAGCAGGGGAGAGGTTGAGGTACATGCTTTAATTGAAATGAATGGAGACCTCTGTGCATTCTTGACGTTCTAAGCATTGGACTCCCTCTGCAATGCTCCCCTGGAGCTACCCGACAGTACAAAAAGGGCTGAAGAGATGTTAAGATGGCAGCTTGTGCACCCTTCTGCTCGTGGATTGCCTCTGAGTCAAGGCTGGATGAGCATTTATCTAACTACTCTTAAAAGCACCTGAGGCTGGAGGGCCCCTGCCTCCTGGGCGCTGCCCTTTGGCATTAAGTGGGCTTCATGAAAGATGGAACGAAGCCACACATCTGTCTGAGCCAAGCAACCAGCACACCTCGTGGGAGCGGACAGACGGAGGGATGCCTATGAAACGCTGCAGCGGGGTGCCCAGGTCCAAGGCGTGCAGGTATTGGTACCCATGGGATCGACGAGATGCTGTGGGTGTACCAGGGTGGGATTCATCCCTCGGACTGCTGACACCACCGCTGTGCCCCTTGCCAGCGTGTCCACCACTGCTGCCCTCCGTGGGAGTGCCAGCATTTATTTATTGTGCCAAAGATAATGCTTCATTTACTCTTCAAGGAACATCTCTCCCCAGCGGCGCAGGGCAGGAGGGCTGGGGCCAGTGCAGGCTGTGCCACAGCCCTCTCCTGCTTCTGGGACAGCCCTGGGCTGGCTCGGGGCAGGACTGAGCTTGCTTCACCTTTCCCTGCCCGAAGCAAGGCTTTTCTCGAACGTTCAGCCCCCTGCCTCATAGCCTTGGAGGCATTGAATAAAAACAAAACCTTCCCCCGTCAAAAATGGGCTGTAAGGTCTCCAAGGCGCAGTATATGTGCGTGCAGGCATGCATGCTCACTCCTTCCTCCCAAATTCTCAGCTGCGCCCCTCCCTTCAGTGCTGTCCTGGGCACTAGTGCTTTATTGCATTAGGAATATTTGCGGTGGTTCCTTGCTATACCTCAGAGGAGAGCTGTGGCTCAGGACTGGTCCAGCCCCCTTGCACCCCAGGTCCCCGGGGGGGGCTTTGGGGCAAGGAGGCTGTGCTGCAGGTGCTAACCCCCACCGAGAGGTGGGTGAGATTATTTAAAGCACGGTGCGATAAACTCCCCCCGGCTCCGCCACGTGTGGATGCTCTGGGGTGGTGATGCTGCAGGGCCAGGACCCAGCACTGGGATATTTACTCCAGGTGAGCGCAAGAAGCGCCTTGGGCGGGCTGAGGTTGGGTTGCTTGTCACTGTGCAGACGCCACGGTGGGTGGAAAGCTGCGGCGTGGGGATGTAGTGGTGCGATGTCCCAGCTCCCAGCAGGGATTTGGTCCTGTCTCTGGGAGGAGAGGGTGCGTTTGGTCCCCTGTGTCCTCCTGGGCCAGGCGGATGCGCCAAGTCATTCCTGTGACATAACCTTGTCCAGTGTTACGATGATGTATAAAGTTTTGTACATACGAGATTCAGAGCTTTTAAACTTTTAATATTTATTAATTTTGTTGGGTTCTCTTTCTTTTTTTTTTTTTTAACTCTAACATAATGTAAAAAAAAAAATCACATCAAAATCTCTTTCTGTTGATTTATTTGTGTGTGTGTGGTTATTGAGATGAATTTGACACTGTGAGCCACTACCTCTTTATTTCAACCCAGCTGCTCCTCTTTATCAGCCAGTTTCCCCCTTAAATAAGACAAAGCAAACCCCAGGGATGTATAAATTACAAGCACCCTGCAATGGTTGTAATAACATTTCATGGCACCCAGCTGGCTTGTTTTTAGCTGCGTTTGGCAGCCGCTTTATGGCACAATGTGTTTGTTCCCAGGGTGCAGGATCATGTCAGGATCACTGGAGCGGCCATCCCTGCTGCAGGGATCTCCCAGGGATCCACCTAGGACGAAACCCACCGGGCGGTTCATCATGCTGCAGGTCTGCAGTGACAAGTCCCCTGGCTGCATGGTCCCCAAGGGCGTGATGCTGCGTTATGGGGTTGTGGGGCTGAGTCTGACCCTGCTGCTGCCCGTCTCCATTACCTGCTTTCTCGCCTGCCTTGCCACCCCTTTCCACGTTGCAGTACCCTAAGTCAATTGAACTGATGGTGAAAAGCACATTTCTGACTCCCTGGGACGTGGCTTTAGTACCATACGCCTGCTCTGGCTGTGCCTGCTACTGTTGGCATAGCAGGAGAAAAACGTCTATCTATATACATATATACACACACATAAATATATAGCTTAGCCATTCCAAAATAAATAAAGATGTGTTGCTGGTTCAGGCCAAGAAGAGCCCCTGAGCTTGCACTGACAACTGATACCATGGTCAAGTAATAAATAAAGAGCAATGAAACCGGGGTAGGGCTGAAGCCGCAGAACAAACGGCACCGTGGGCAGTGATGCCCAACGTTGGGGTGTGTTTTGGCAACCCCCCCCTTCCCTTGTGCACGGCGGTGAGGAGCGATGCTGAATACCAGCTACCGTTGCTGCTCACGGGCGAGGTTTGGGCAAGGCTCAGTCCTTGCAGATGCTCCACTCCATCCCTGAAGCAGAAGCACGGTGCTGGGTGAAGGGTGTCCTCTTTGCTCGGGGTTGCTCAGTGGGTACACTGCCTCGCCCCATTGCTGGCGGCCGCGGCTCCTTGGCTGCAGCAGCAATGAGCAGGGGAAGGAGCGGGTCTCCAGCTTGGGCCATGTCCCTCGTGCTCGGGCAGAGCCTATCCTCCCGCAGCTCAGGAGCACACAGCGGCAGAGAGGTGTCGGCGGAGGTGCTTGATGAAGTCTGCTTGGGACTGCGGCAGGACGTGGTTAACAACAGATGCAGGGATCCAGCCCTTTGGGAGAAAAAAACCCCGAATTTGGTCCTGCTGGGTCAAAGGGAATTGGGGTGCCCATCCTGGGGAGCAAGGTGCATTTGCACGCCAGGATGCATACCCCTTGCTGTCTCACCCCAAGTAACACGGTGGCACTTGCCTTCAGGTCCATGCTGAGGAGCCAGGTGAAGTGGGTACGGCCGGGGTCCTCTGCCAGCGGCTGCAGGACGATGCAGCTCAGTCGGGACTCGGCCCTGCAGTGGGCAAGGAAGCAGGCAGTTAGGGTCCCCCGTGGGGGGAAAACGGGGGTAAAGAGATGCCAGAGCAAATGCAACAGGGAGGTAGCTCTTGGCATGCCTCCCTTGCCATGCCCCGTGCAAACTTTCATGACTGCAGCGGTGGTGTCCCCCCACCGGGACACGATATCCCATGACGGTCACTTTGCGGGGGCTGTACCTGATGCACCCTTCCTGCAAGGGCAGGGGCTCGATGTGGGTGGTGGTGCCCACCAGGTAGATGGCTGTCTCCCTCCTCCCGCGGTGCCGCACGCTGACAAAGTCCCGCTGGCCCACCAGGTTGCCCGGGCTGGGGGCGGTGACTTCGTGTGTCACCAGCGTGTCTGTCCCAATGCGCTGCAGCACCTACCAGAGCAAGAAGTGCCCTGGGGGTTAGGCTTCTTGTGCCTGCCCCTCCAGGGACATCCCTGCCACCCCCTTACTCCCGCCCAGGGGACGTTAAGCCACCTTGGGGATGGCAGCATGAGCAGGAGGAGGAGCAGAAGCAGCAGCAAGGCTGGGGCTTGGGGCTGGCACCTGGTGGTAATTAAATCCCAAGACCCTGCAGGCTCTTAAGGGGGAAAGTGGGTGATTTTTGCAACCTTTTTTTTATCTGGGATGGGATTCTCCCTATGCTATTTCTTTTTCTGAAGGGACAGGGAAGTGGTAGCTATAAATAAGCAGAGGCTGGGTAGCATCTGAGCCAGCCCAGGTGAGCTAGGGGAGGCTTTCTGAGGCTGGCAGCTTGCTTAGAGATATGCTGTGGTTTGGGACCTGAGAAATAAGGCAAATAAATACTCAAAAGAAGCCCAAGACAACACATCAGCTTCCTGGGGGTGCCCCCCACAGCGTGATATATTTGGTTTGGCCTCTTTTTTTGAGCTGAATCCCCTGAACAGCTTCTCCCCTGACATTAAAGTCTGAGCAATGTCAGAGTCCCCCAGCATGGAAAAAACTCTGTGAACAGGTGCTGTGCGGAAAAGAGAACTTGGAAATGACACGTTTCTCAATGCCACGCCAGTAAAGCACATCTTCTGTCCCTGGGGTGATATCCTGCTCTTGCAGGAGTGTGGAATTAGCTTTAATCCTTCAGCAATCTTAAAAGCCTCGACAAATACGATTTTTTGGATGCTAGCAACCCTGGTGATGCAGAGTCTCAGACCGTCTGCCCATGATGGCATCGCTCGCTGCCTGCAGTGCATCCCTCCCCACCTTACCTTCACCCGGCTAAGGGTCGGGTTCCACTGGGGCATTTGCTCGATCCTCTCGAACAGCTCTCGGTGCAGCCGTGCCACTGGCACGGCCAGGACCACCTCTGCCCGAAACACCTTGCCCAGTCCAGGGAGGGCAGCACTGGACACGGTAGCCTCGGCATCCTGGGAGAGCAGAGAGCCTGTATCAATGAAATACCTTGCTAATAAACCATCCCAGTTGTCTTTTTAATCACTGTTTGGTTTACAATTGAAAGCTATTATATCTAAATCATGCCACTACGATTGCTTTTTTTTTTTTTATTTTAAGCTCCTTTCTAGCTAAATTAAACAATTCAGCAAACAGCTTAATGAACAAACACCGTAAATAACAGCAAAGTCACAATCTGTTGGGTTTTTTTCCTGCAGAAATGCTCCTGGCTTTCCCTGGGAACATGATTATCTGAGTTTTCCCTTCCAAGCCTTTTCCTGCTGTCTATTTACTTTGCAGATTTTCTTGTGAACGTGCTTAACGAAGGCTTGGTTGGAAACCCTTTTTGCCGTGCTTTTGCATGGCACGTCTCCTGCGCCCATCGTTTCCCTTCAAGCAGGAGGAATAAGAGAAACAAATGTCATCTCCCCAGGCTCATTTCTCCTCCCGAGAGCGTTTCTGGCATGAAGCAGTAAGGGCAAAAGGTGGCCGGGCTTTACCAGCATCGTTTCTGCCTGCCAGCTGGTGTGCTGCTGCAGGATGCTCAGTGCTCGCTGCAGGGCCGTTTCTCCCTGGTTGATGTAGGAGAGGTCCACGCTGGAGAACCGGCTGGGGCTTACATCTCTGATGGGCTCGGCACAGGCAGCTGCAGGAGCAAGGCAGAGTAATGTGAAAAGCCCCCCTAGCTTTGCCTGTGCACATGGCTGTGGGTACAGAAGTGCAAACATAGCTGGAGCAGAGGGTTTTGCTGACCCAAAGTCTCGGCTCTGACACTGCTGTTTCCACCACGCAACTGGTCCCCTCTTGGGCTGGGGATGGCTTGGTGCAGAAAACCTTTCTGTCAGGAGCATCCCTGGCATTCAATCACTGTTTCTGTGCCGACTGCTTGGAAAGCTCTTTCAAATTGCTTTCCAAATCATTTCCCAGTAACACTGTGGTACAAATTGCACGTTGCATGGGTATTATTAACATTGCATAGGCAGCCTTTGGACCAAGCCACACTTCAAAAAAAACCCAGATGAATTTGCCAATTTTCAAGTCTTTAGGTAAGTGGGGGAACTAGAGACACAGCAGACATGCAACAAAACACTGATAAGTGCCTGTAACCTCTGCTAAAAGCTTTGGCTGCCTGTACAGTGAGCCAATGCAATTTACCTTCCCAGAATCTCAGGGTCTCCCCGCTAACCCAGTTTTCCATCAGTACAGGGAATGCTTTTAAGCTACCAGCAAGCTGGAGACTAGCCCAGCAGTGAGAAGACAACTAACTCTGTCCCCCAAAATATGGGTCAAATCATATAGAGAGGTGTGCATTTTAATACGCATCCCTCCATCATGTGTTGCAAGGACGTTGTGAGCAGAGCTAGGAAACGTGGTACCCAAGCGCCCAGGCTGAGCTTACCTGTCTCCTTTCCCATCAGCCTCTGAAAATAACATGGAATTTTGGAAGGCAGGCAACGGAGCCCTCTCACGTCCTTCTGTATTGCTGCAACGGCTGTTATCTTCAAGCCTAGGGGAGATATGTGTGGGCTTTGGTGAGCACAGAGTGTGCAAGGAAGATGCCGAGCTGCCCTGCGTCTCTGCTGGAAGTTGATTTGCAGCTAAGACCAAGACTACCTTGTGCATAATACAGTGCAGGAGGAACATAGATGCATAGATGTGACATTTCCAAGGGAGCACCTCCCAAGGGGATGCCCATCAGATGCAAGCTTAGCATCTCCTTTAGGACCTTCTTTTCTGCCTGTTTTTCCCAAGGTTGGAGGGGAGGCAAGCGGTGCTTACCGGGCAGGCGGCGGTGGTGGTCATGGGCGATGCCGCAGCACAGCTTGATGGTGGCCTGCAGCATGGCGCAGGAGCAGGGCTGCCTCCGGGAGCACGCCGCATCCTGGCATGCCTTTATAGACGGCCTGAAGGACGGCACCTGATGATAGGACCACGCTGCCAGATAGCAACTGGGAATAAGGAGTACTCAAGGACAAGGCAAGCGAGGGGAGGGGCTGGAGGGAAAGGCCATGCTTCCCTCTGAATGAGCAGTCCCTGCCTTGCCTCCTGCCCTGGGCAGGCGGCTGTGAATGGCCGCATCCCCAGGGCACCGCTGAGATGGGACGCTGTAGTGGTCCCCAGTGCCACTTTATTGAGGACTGTGGTGGCAAACCCAAGCTGGCAAAGGCAACTGGTGGCACTTGCATAGGGGGAAGGATGGGGTGGGAGTTGAGAGCAACGTGGCTTTGCTCTCGGAGAGCATGGAAGCTGCTGTTAAAACCACATTTGTGGAAAATGGTGTTTCTTCCTATGGAAACTTCACAGAAGTTATGGTGGTAATTGCTGCTGTTGTGACTCCTCAAGTAATGCTTTATATTCTTCTTTCCTACTTTACTCCCTCCTAATCATCCCCTGCAGACCTCTGTTCATCATGGTGGTGGTGGGACCGCTACATCTTTTGGCATGAAGTTATTCAGTCCTTCCTCTTGTATTTTTAATGGTCGCTCTTAAAAGGTTAAACACAAAACCTACTGGGTCACTCCTTAAAATACAGCCATACTGTATTCCTCTGGCCCTTTGCAATACCTGCTTCTTCAAGTGCTTTGAAAACCCTGCTTGATTTTTTACCATGGAAAGGCTCTTCCACCTGTACGAAGCCGAGGGGTCAGATGCTTCTGTTTCAGACAGCATCATTACAGCTCACTTTACCTTCAGTCTCTGAGGCTACAACTGCCAAAATATTTGGAGTCCAGGAGGGCTTTATGGCTTTAAAAGGGATAGGAGAGACTTCAAGGCTTGCAGTCTGGGGTGGTTGTGGCCTGTGGATTTCTTGCTGGGATGGGAACAGTCCTTCTGCGGCTGCCATGCAAGCACTGCAGACCCCTGTTCCTTGGCAGCTCTGAGGCTGTCACAGCAGTGAACAGGGACAGTCTGCTGAATCTATACAATATTGCATGTTGATTTAATAAGTGTGTTATTAGGAGTGGCGTAGCAAGAGAGATGCCTGTGGATGGCTTTTGGGCATGGCAGAATAACTGCGGTGGAGGGTAATTGAGTAAATAGGAAAAGCAGTGGTAGGAAATGACTGTTTTCACCCAAAGCTGATGGAGGTAAATATGGTTATTTGCTCTTTCTGACTCATAGTGCTGGGTCCCTTCAGGAGCAGTCATTGACCGATGGTTTGACCCTTGCAGCCTGCCCGGCATCCCGGTGGCTGAGAAAGGCAGCAGACCCTGCCAGTGCAGGGAGATGGGCCAGAGCAGGGGCTTGTCCCCATGTCACCCTTCACAGCCTTGTCCCACACAGGAGCTGGGGGCTCCAGCTGTCTCTCCAAACACCTTCTGCGCTGCTAATATATTTTTTTCTATAGCAAGCATTGCATCCATTCAATACTCCCACTATTGGCAGGGATCGAGTGGGTAGAACAGTTTCCTAGGAAAAATGCAGCTTTTTTCCCACGGGTTTTGGCCCTGGTGTGCCAGAGGGATTTATCCCAGCCATGGGGACTAGTTGGCTCGGCTCAGCCAGTTCCCCAGCTCCCTGCCTGACTCACCAGCCCTGGCCCTGAGCTTTTCCCCCTGGCTTTTCCTGCAGGGATAACCTCATGGCACATCTGCTGTGGCTTGCACAGCTGTGTCCTGTTGCAGCTTCACAGCTTTCTCCCTCCATTCCTGATTGCTGGGCAAGTTATAACAGCACCTCCCTGCCAGCTGCTGCTCCTTGGATGCTCTGCTGCTTACTTGCAGTCTGCTCCAGGGTGACTTCCTATGTGGTGGCACCCAGATAAGTGCCTGTGTGCATGTTCCATGCTTGCAGGAAAGCCTTGCAGATATACCTGTGTGATATGCATGGCCCAAAGCAGCGGCAAGCTTTGCAGCAGGGGCTTGAGAGGTGCACTGTAGCCCAGCTGCAGCTCTATGGGAGATTTGCTACTGCCAGAGCTCTCTGTTCAGTGCTGGGATTTACACTGCTGCTTTGGTGAGTTGCAAACCACTTTTTCTGGATTTTTCATGGGGTTTGGGGAGTCACTGGGGCCCAGCAGTTAGGAAATACAACACCTTTTTTGCAAGCTGCCTAGGAAGGAAGGAGCAGTGGGTGATAAGATCTGCCCCAGCGCATTAAATGTGCACCTCCGCTAGCTCCCAGGGAGTGCCAGTCCCCATGAATGGTCTATCCTCTCACACACATTCCCCTCACTTTTGCGCACGCTTTCTGGTTAGTTTTGTCTCTACAGAAAGCTGTAATAGACAGGCAGATAATGTTTTATCACCCCATTTGGTGAGCAGTGTCCATACGCTCTCCTGAGGGCTGTACGAGATGTCCTGGGAATAGAGTGACTTACAGGGGAAAAGAAAATATGAAAAATTGCCTGTGATGGCAAGCTTGGACTCCAGGAGAGGATGGCATTGCCACATGAGACCCCAGCTCAGAGTGGTGAGGGGCTGCCATGGGTCAGCCCTGGTCCCTCCCCTGCTGATGCAAAGGTCCTTGGGTGCTGGTCGTGGGACACCCCTGGATGCAGGGTGCCAGGCATCCACCCCCTGCATGGCTGCAGCGGAGCGGTTTTGGCCTGGTATCTCCACCAGGTTTGGCTGCAGCCACTGGAGGTCACTGCTGATCTGCAGCTCCACAAGCAAAGCCACTTTTGGAGAGGCAGGTGGGAGCCCTGCTCCCAGGTGCTGGCTCTGGGCTGCTCTGCCCCTAAGCCCCTGCAAAATCCCTGGGAGCTGGGTGGTTGCTGGCACATAGGACCTCCACTAGAAATAAGATCTGGCACCCTCAACCCTCCCCAATTATCCTGCTCCTGGATGCAAGGACCCTTTGAGGACTCATCACTTCCAATTGCACAGCTCAGTGTAGGATCTCCTGGGAGGGATGCTGGCTCAGGGAACATCCTACAGCTCCCGAGAAAGAGCAGTGCCAAATGTGAAATGCAAAGCCTGTAACTGGCGCTTTGGGAGGCAAAGGCAGGATTTCAGCAGCTAATTCTTCCCTTGTTGTTCTTGTCAAATAGTCTGAAATGAAATTAGCTAGTAGGAATAATGTACCTTTAAAGGAGGATGCTCTTATTCATTTCTCCTCTTCGTGGCCAAGACCCTTTCTGCCCCCTTTGACTGAGGCAGCTTGGTGTCCCACGGGGTGCTGCACTCCAGCTCTGTGGGTGCGATACAGTCAGCGCTGGGGGTTTGGGGCTGAACGGTCCCTTTTAGGAGAGTTTGGAGCCACTGCCAAAGAAACGAGTGATTTTACAGAATGCCCGTGTCCCTTCACTCTCTTGCTGTTTGAACATCCAACCAGAACTGGAAAAAAAAGATCTACAGAAGGGACCTGGGAAACTTTACAGTTCACTGGCTCAGCAGGAGGTCAATACTTCCAGCAGCAATGCAAACTGGTGAAATCCCCATTGAAATGTCCTCGCCATTTCCAAGATGGGCTGGAAACACATTTCCAGCTCCAATCCCAGCTATAGCCCCTGGCCCCTCTGGCAGGACAAGTATCATCCTTCAGGACTAGAAGTTCAACCAATGTAGGGTAACGCTGTTGCTCGATGTTAAAGTAAAACCTGGACTAAAATCTTTTGGGGTTTCCATACCCCCTGAACACTGATGTCTTCTCATCTGCAGGTAGTGAGCAAACCTCACTTATTTGTTTAGGGCAAAACTGATCTGCTACCCGCTGTAAGAGCTCAGCCATCAGCAATATTATCTTCTCTCCACCCCAAGGGGCAAGGGTGGCATTTTCTGATTTAGCCTGTGCAATGCAAACATCAGCTGAATGACAAATCTGCCTCTCTCAATCTCCTTTAGAGAAGGAGAAGGGGGGGAAAAGAGCAATGGAAAAGGTCTTAAATGGCAGGTGGGTGCCTTCTGGCTTTGACTGAGGAGCAAATGCTGAGGCTGAGAAAGGTTTTGGGTCCAAATGGTCCTCCCCAAACACCTGGCAGAGCAGCGTGGCTTTGGATGAGGATTAAGGCTTGTGCAGGTCCATAAGCGGTCACAGGGGTGCCAGCAGAGATGATAGCAACTCATCAGCATGTAAAACAGTCTGAGTCAGCCCAAACCCTGACCGTGAGACAAGAGGAATGGGAAATAACGGGATGCTCCCTGGGGAAAGGGTGAAGACGGGGAGCTAGTGGGACTCAGAGCTGCTATCAGCAGCCCTGCAGAAAGCTGAGCAATGCAACAAGGGCGATATGGGCTCCCTCCTCCCACGGTCACACAGGGATCCGCCTGTTCAGACCCGAGGGCAAGTCCCAGGGCAATTTCTCTCCGTGTCCTTGGGGCCCGCTCTGAGTGAGACTGCTCTATAATCAGCAGAGCCTTGATGCAGGGGAAGCCCTGATTTTAAGCAAAGTCTTGGATGGCCTCCAATACCTTTGCAGAAGTTGGCAGGAGAGGATAAAGCAGCATCTTCAGCCCCATGGGAATCCTCTTGCAGGTCTGCCATCATCCCTAACAGTGCTCTGGGGCTTTCTGGGAGCAGAGGTAGACCTCGTGTTCCCATCTTGCAGCCCTGATGGGGCATTTAGTTACGTGTCTCTGGGGGACCCTAAATAGGGACCTAGAAAGCAGATCCCTTGGGAGTGTGACTTTATTTAAAGATGGCTTTGGCCATACTGTTCTTGCTGGAAGTGCCTGTGCTATGGGAGCTGCTTTCTGCCTCTCTCCTCTTCCCGGCTGTGTGTCCAGAAAAGTTAAGAGTCAAAGAGAGAAAATATAAAAATACATAGCATTTATTTCTGTACATAACCAAAGCGCTTGTAATTAGTGCCTCTAGATGGAAAACTAGACAAGTTTTCTTCTCCCAAACCAGGAGACTTGGTGCTACATTGTCAGGCTCATAATTTTAAAAAATGGTCCATGT